GTGTAGTTTTTTGTTGTTTGTTTTGTTTTTGTTTTTTTTGTTTTGTTTTTTCAAGATTGAGTCTCGCTCTTGCTGCCCAGTCCTGTGGAGTGCAGTTGCATGACGTCAGCCTCAATGCCAGCTCTGTCTCCCGGATTACAAGCTTCTCACCTCAGCCTCCCGTAGTAAACTGGATTACGATGCCCACGACCACGCCCAGCTATTTGATTGTATTTTTTATCAGAGAAGGGATTCACTAATATTGGCGCCAGGCTGGTCACATTTTTGACCTTTGTTTTAAGACAGGAGACGTGCGGTTATTTTTTTCGGGCTGCGGTGCTCAATCCTGTTAATCCCAGCACTGTTGGAGGCGACACGGGCGGGTACTCACGATGGTCAGGAGATCGAGGACATCCTGGTGAACACGTGAAACCCCGTCTCTTACTAAAAAAATTTATACAAAAACTAGCCGGGCGATTATTATTTTTTTTTATTGTATTGTGTGATTAACAGGGGCGGGCGGCGCTGTACGAGTCCCAGCCTATCGGGATGAATTAGGCTGAGCGTAGACGGAGAATGGCTGTAATCCCGGGAGGCGAGAGCTTGCAGTGAGCTGATTGATCCGGACCACTTGCACTCACAGCAGGGCTTACAGAGCGAGACTCCGTCTCCAAAAAAAAAAAAAAAATAAAAAAAAGACAGAGACTTGCATTTTCACCCAAGGCTGTGCAGAGTGCGTTAGCACCATATAGCTCACTGCAGTTCTCCACTCGCTAGGAGCTTGACAATTCCTCTCTCACATTACTCACCCACCTACCAAGTAGCTGGGTACTACAGAGTGCAAACACCACATCCAGCTAAATTTTTTGTTTTTTTTTTGGAGACAGAAGTCTCACATGTTCTGGTCCTCACTCAGGCTGGAGTGCAGTATGTACGATCTCGGCTTCACTGCAACCTCTTGCCTCTTTGGACTTCAAGCGATTCTTCTTTGCCTCTAGCCTCCCTCTGTAGCTGGGATACTACAGGCGCCGTGGCACCACCTCGCTGGCTATTTTTGCATATTATAGTAGAGATGGGTTTCACCATGTTAGGCTAGGGCTGGTCCGTTGAACTTCCTGAGCCTCAGGTGATCCATCACCGCTCGCGCTTCCCAAAGTGCTGGAATACTCAGTTGTGAGCCGGCCGCACCAGCCCTGTTTTTTTTTTTGTTGGTTTGGTTTTTGTATTGAAAACGGGGGTCTGGTGTATTACCCAGGGGTGATTTTTCAAACTCTGGGCCCCTCAAACAATCCGCCGCGCCGTTGGTCTCCCAAAGTTGGGAATGTCAGGCTTACAGGCGTAAGACCTGCACCTGGTCCAATGTTAGTTATGGGTTTATGTATTTTTTTTAGAGACAGAGTCTCGCTCTGTCCACCCAGAGGCTGGAGTGCAGTGGCGTGATCGGTTAGTTCACTTATAACTCTGTCCTTCCTGGGTTCAAGCCCAGATGCTCTCCTGGCCTCAGGCCTTCCTTAGTAGCTGGGATTACAGGTGCCGTGCACAATGTCCAGGTAATTTTGTGATTTTTTAGATACGAGAAGAGGTTATCACCATGGTGGCCAGGGCTGGTCTGGAAACTCCTGGACCTCAAGTGATCGCACGCCTCAGCCTCTCCAAACTGGCTGGGATTACAGGCTTTCAGCCACCACACCAGGCTGGATGTTTATTTTTTCTTTTTTTTTTTTTTTTTTTCTTGAGAAAGGAGTCTCACTCTGTTCACCCAGGCTGGAGGCAGTGGCGCCAGATCTCGGCTCACTGCCAAGCTTCGCCTCCCGGGTTCACACCATTCTCCTGCCTCAGCCTCCCGAGTAGCTGGAACTGGCATGAGACACCCTTTTCCTGCTGTCCTTCCCAGCTTCTCCCTCACCTCCCTTTTTCATCCTAGTTTATAAGACAGAGAGAACGGGGGAAAAGCAAAAGTTGGAAAGAACTATTGAAAAGGGCTAGGAATTTCTTTTTTGGGGAGCTCGGCTCTTAAGATGCGAGTCTGCCGACGCTCCTGGCCGAATAAAAAAACCTCTTCCTTCTTTAATCCCGTGTCTGAGGAGTTTTGTCTGCGGCTCGTCCTGCTACAGGACCACAGGCGCCTGCCACCACGCCCGGCTAATTTTTTTTTTTTTTTGTATTTTTAGTAGAGATGGGGTTTCACCATGTTAGCCAGGATGGTCTCGATCTGACATCACGATCTGCCCGCCTCCGCCTCGGATGTTTAGTTTCACAAGAAATGATTAGAACTTTATCCAAAGTGATTATACCATTTTATACTCCCATCAAAAATATGTGAGGTTTTCTTCTTCTTCTTATTATTTTTTTGAGACGGAGTCCCACTCTGTTGCCAGGCTGGAGTGCAGTGGCGTGATCTCGGCTCACTGCAACCTCCGCCTTCCAGGTTCAAGCGATTCTTCTGCATCAGCCTCCCAAGTAGCTGGGACTACAGGCACATGCCACCAGGCCCGGTTACTTTTTTTGTATTTTTAGTAGAAACGGGGTTTCACTGTGTTAGCCAGGATGGTCTTCATCTCCCGAGCTCGTGATCCGCCCGCCTCAGCCTCCCAAAGTGCTGGGATTACAGGTGTGAGCCACCACGCCTGGCTGAGATTTTTATTTATTTTTAAATTTAATTTTAGAGTAGGTTATATATATATTCACATGGTGCAAAAATTAAAAAAAAACCCAAACATGAAAATTATCTTTCTCACCTCTGTCCCCTATCTGCTCAGGGCCCACTTTTTTTCCCAGTCTTATCACAGATAATCGTTACCGGTAGATTTTTGGCTGTTTTTTGGTATTTCTGTAAATATGACAATATTCTGTAAATGTAAATAAATACAAATATATTTTTTCATTTCTACCTTTTTACATAACATTCTTACACGCAGTTCCACACTTGGTTTTTTTTCATTGAAAAGTCTACCTTGGAGATATTTTCATTTCAGTACAAAGTTTCCCCACTTCTTTTTCAAGTTATAGGCTATTTCGCTGCATGATGAACCAGAGTTTACTCAGTCATTTTCCTAGGTGTGGACACTAGGGTTTGTTTCCAGTATTTTGCTACTATGCACAATGCTGCAATTAATACGCGTGAACTCATTTCATTTCACACATCTATGAGTATCTCTGTAGGCAAACTGCCAGATGTGCAGTTGTTGAATAAAACATTGTGTATTCATTTTGACACACATCATCAGATGATCCCCTTTCCCATCCAGCAATGTCTGAGTGCCAGCTTCCTGGCAGCCTTATCAATAGCATTGCCAATTTTTTGGATGGTTGCCAATCACAGTGAACACTGCTGTCTCAAAGAGTTTTAACTTGCATTGGTCTTTATAGAAGTGAGATTGGATAGTTTTCATATGACTAACAGCCAGGCTTAGTCCTTTGCTGTGAACTCTAATTTTTCTATTGGGTGCTAGGGCTTTTTATTGTTGACTTCTGGAAGCTTTTGGAATATTAAAGAGATTAGCTTTGTCTATTTACATAAGTTGGGACTATTTCTTCCTTGTTAATCATTTATCTTTTGACTTTGCTTATGGTGCTTTTTGCCAGCCAAAGCTTTTGACAGTCATGACTTCTGGATTTCGAGTAATACGTAGAAAGGCCCTCTTTACTCCAATACTAAAAAGGAATTTCCCCATGTTTTCTTCTTGTCCTTTTATGATTCCATGGTTACACGTTTTATATATATATATATATTTTTTGAGACGGAGTCTTGCTCTGTCGCCTAGGCTGGAGTGCAGTGGCAGCAATCTCAGCTCACTGCAACCTCTGCCCGGATTCAAGAGATTCTCCTGCCTCAGCCTCCTGAGCAGCTGGGATTACAGATGTGTGCCACTACCCCCAGCTAATTTTTGTATTTTTAGTAAAAACGCTTTTTCACTATGTTGGCCAGGCTGGTCTTGGAACTCCTGACCTCGTGATCTGCCCACCTCCGCCTCAAATAGTGCTGGGATTACAGGCATGTCAGCGCACCCAGCTGTTTTTATTTTATAAACGACTGAAAAAAGACCAGAGCCAGGCCTCCTCCCTTCCGTCACTAATCTTTATTGCAATAACTCCCTCCTTCGTCATCCTGTACCTAGCTCAGACCAGACGACACCCCAAACACAAACACCAAGACACGCACCTCTTTAATATGAAATAATAAACATACCTCCCCCCAGACACCCCCTGAACTAATCAAATCATTGTAACTATATACTAAGCTTTACATAAAAATACTAACATTTGGCCGGGCGCGGTGGCTCACACCAGTAATCCCAGCACTTTGGGAGGCCGACGTGGGTGGCTGACCTGAGGTCAGGAGTTCGAGACTAACCTGACCAACATGGAGAAACCTCGTCTCTACTAATAACACAAAAATTAGCCAGGTGTGGTGGTGGGCGCCTGGAATCTCAGTTACTAGGGAGGCCGAGGCAGGGGAATCGCTTGAACCCGGGAGGCGGAGGTTGCAGTGAGCCGAGATCGCCCCATTGCACTCCAGCCTGGGTGACAAGAGCGAAACTCCGTCTCAAAAAAAAAAAAAAAAAATCTAACATTCTAGTACACCTTTCCTGAACTCTGTCTATATAAATGATTCCGCACTTCTACACTTGAAACCGACTTGCATTCTCCGAAATCTGCACTCCTGAGCGGGCGCCCGCAGCCTCCACACTGGCAAAGGCTCCGTGAGCTGAGCTCCGCCCCGCTCCGACCCCCGGGGACAAGGCTCGACTCCCGGGTGCGGCCTGAGCGGCCCGCGCCCTGGCGTCCGGGCACACACAAGGGTTTCTGCGGCGCGGGACTATCTCAAAATATAAATCAAATACTTTTTTCACAGAGAGTGAATGCAAAAACTACAGCTACGCCCCATCCGTTCGCCAATTGCGGCGCGCCCGCGCTCGTCCATCCGGGCGTCTCGAAGGCGCCGGCGGGAGCGCGCACGCTGCGCAGTCACGTGCCTGGCGCGCCCCCGTCGCGGCGAGCTCGGGCGGAAGTGAGGTCGACGACTCCGGTGGCTGCGCAGCGTCGGCGGGGAGCGCGGGCTGCGGAGAGGCGGGCCGGGCCAAGCGGAGCCGAGCTAGCGGGAGCGCGGCGCCGGGGAGGCGGCGGAGACGCGGGGCTCGGAGGGTCAGCCTCTTATCGTAGCCGGTCTCCTCGGCGCGCCCTCCCTCGTTTCGCCCCACGGCCAAGCCCGCCGCGGGCCGGCGTGCGCTGGTCACTGAGGCCCAGGTCGCCGCCGCGGCGCGGTGAGTGGGGGCGGGCGGCGGGCGACTGCGCGTCCAGGCCGGAAGTGCGGCGCTTTGTGCGGCCGGCTCGGGGCGGTGCCAAGGTCGGCCCGCGGCTCGGGGTCGCTTGGCGTCTGGACCGGCCTGGGGTGCGCTTTGTCCCGCGGGCAAGGCCGGGCGGGGGCCGGGGGCGGAGCTCGGCCGGACACGTACGCGGGCAGGTGCGGTCCTGGCGGCGCGGGCCTGCCGCCGAGGTGGCTTCGCGGCGCGGGGCGTTCTCCTAAAGGTCGGGGTCACAGCCGTCAGGAATGCGAGCGTGAAACACGGGGGCAGAGCACTGTGACAATAGTCATTTCCTACGTGTAACTACTCATTTTGTCTACCCACGAAGTAAAGATAATTTTTTTTTTTTTTTTGCTTGGCGGCATCTGAGCGTTCTCTTTCCAGCTTGAAAAGGCACGATTTAAATTACAGGCTTTTAAGATTTCCTTCAGAAAGAACGTTTCGTGGCCCATCCTGGGTTAACTTTGAAAAAAGAGTGCAGTGCGCCTTTACGACATCCACAAATAAGGGTATTTCTGTTTTATAGTGTATGTGAACATGAAGTGTGCATCTCATGGGCTGTTTGAGTTAATGTTTAGTCATTAAAATAAAACATAAGAATATTTTGCAGTGTTTTCGCATGCCAGGAAGTTTTACAAGTAAAAAGGTTTATGTAGTTTCCACTCCTTAAACTTTCAGGTCATCCTTGTGTAATTTGAGATCACTTTTCTCAAATACTGTGGATGAAAGATTCTAGATTAAATAAAACTTTTTGGTTTTGGCAATAACAGGAACACATTTTTAAGCTTTTGTAGATAAAGAAGGAGTGGGTTATTTTTGCTTTGACAGCCAAGATTTGAACAGTGTAAGGCTATTCTAATTTTGAAGCTAGTGTTGCAGAAATTGTGAAAATCTTGCTTCTCTTTGTCTTTACAAAGCCGGCTTACTTTGGTGGAGTGTTGGCATATGTTACTCATGTAACATTTTGGAATGTTTCTGAATACAAGAAAGCTTTAAAGTGAGTTAAAATTAGTTGTGATTTTGATTAAATGAAAGTTAAGGTCTGGTACAAGGCGGCCTATAGACTTTTAAGAGTTGGAGCCTGCTTTCTTTGGGTTCTCCTGGATGTTCTCTATGCAGCATTCACTAGAAATGCCCAAGCAGGTAGTTCTCTTCTGACTCTGTAGGCTGTGTGTGTCAGTTAATTGCCTGGAACCTAGAAGGCGGGAGTAAGCAGCCCAGGTCGTCTTATCAGATCTTAATATATTTGTTAGGAAATGAGAGCAGTGTAATGCCATAGAAGTAGAGGATTAGAATTGAAAAAAATCTACAGTGCATTTTAAAATTATTTTTTAATAGGTTCCGTAGTTTAAAGGGAAATTATACCAAAGTTGTCTTAGACAATTTTTTTCCTGCATTAATTGAGCACGATTTTTTTTTTCTTTTTTTTTTTTAGACGAGTCACCCTCTGTCGCTCAGGATGGAGTACAGTGGTGGGATCTCCTCTCACTGCAAGCTCTGCCTCCCAGATTCACGCCGTTCTCTTGCCTCAGCCTCCCAAGTAGCTGGGACTACAGGTGCCCGCCACCACGCCCGGCTAATTTTTTTGTATTTTTTTTTAGTGGAGACGGAGTTTCACCGTGTTAGGCAGGATGGTCTCGATATCCTGACCTCATGATTTGCCCGCCTTGGCCTCCCAAAGTGGTGGGATTACAGGCGTGAGCCACCGCGCCCGGCCAAGCACAATTTTAAAAGAACAGTACACCAGTGTAATAGAGTGATACTTTTTTCATGCCTTGTGTCCAGTCTATTAAGTCTGTCTGATTGTACTGTGTAGAAATACATGAATTCCTCCCAGTCAGATGCAAACCCAAACCTTGGTAATGAAGGTAAAGTTTGGGGGAGAGTAGAGAACTTCTCTTTTCTTTTTTTTTTTTTTTTGTGAGATGGAGTGTAGCTCTGTCTCCCGGTCCAGAGTGCAATGGTGTGATCTCGGCTCACTGCAGCCTCCTCCCGGACTCAAGGGATTCTCCTGTCTCAGCCTCCCGAGTAGTTGGGATTACAGGCACACACCACTGCGCCCAGCTAATTTTTGTATTTTTAGTAGAGACAGGGTTTTACCGTATTACCCAGTCTGGTCTTGAACTGTTGACCTCAGGTGGTCCACCCACGTTGGTCTCCTGAAGTGCTGGAGCCTCCGCACCCGGCCTATATGCTCTTTTTATTTTATTTTATTTTATTTTATTTTATTTTATTTTATTTTATTTTTTTGATACAGTTCTGCTTTGTTGCCCAAGCTGGAGTGCAGTGGTGTGATCTCGGCTCACTGCAACCTTCTCCTCCCAGGTTAAAGTGATTCTCCTGCCTCAGCCTCCCGAATAGCTGAGATTACAGGTGCATGCCACCATGCCCATGTAATGTTTGTGTTTTTAGTGGAGATGGGGTCTCATCTCACTATGTTGGCCAGGCTGGTCTCGAACTCCTGACCTCAAGTGATCCACCCACGTCGGCCTCCCAAAGTGCTGAGATTACACATGTGAGCCACCGCATCCAGCCTCTTTTAAAAAAATATATTTTTGGCCAGGCGTGGTGGCTCACCCCTGTAATCCCTGCACTTTGGGAGGCCGAGGCCAGCAGATCACGAGGTCAGGTGATGGAGAACATCCTGGCTAACACGGTGAAACCCTGTCTGTACTGAAAATACAAAAATATTAGCCGGGCATGGTGGCGGGTGGCTGTAGCCCCAGCTACTTGGGAGGCTGAGGCAGGAGAATGGTGTGAACCCAGGAGGCAGAGCTTGCAGTGAGCCGAGATTGTGCCACTGCACTCCAGCCTGGGCGACAGAGTGAGACTCCATCTCAAACAAACAAACCAAAAAATATATATATATAATATATATTAAATTTGTATAGAGATGGGAGTCTCACTTTATTGCCCAGGCTCATCTCAAACTTCTGAGCTCAAGCAGTCCTGCCTCAGCTTCCCGAAGCACTGGTCTTACAGGCACTTGCCACCACATCTACAAGCTTTTGTTGATGATGTCAGACATTACTGAGACTTTCCAATGTTGATTTTTCTGAGTATTGTATCTTGTATATTGGTGTTTCTGAGAGTGAATTTAAACCTCTTGAAATTAGGTTTGTTGATATAAAATTTTAAAGGCCTGGTATTGTATTTCATTCTTAGTGCTCTGTGTGGGAACTTTGTTTAGAGATGATATGTTTCCAAACTAGGAAAAAATAGTGCAGTGATGGGTCTTTCTTTCTTTCTTTTTTTTTTTTTTTGAGATGGAGCCTCCCTGTTGCCCAAGCTGGAGTGCAGTGGCATGATCTTGGCTCACTGAAACCTCTGCCTCCTGGGTTCAAGTGATTCTCTTGCCTCAGCCTCCCAAGTAGGTGGGACTACAGGTACGGGCCACCAGGCTGGCTAATTTTTGTATTTTTAGTAGAGACGGCGTTTCACCATGTTGGCCAGGCTGGTCTGGAACTCCTGACCTCGTGATCTGCCCGCCTTGGCCTCCCAAAGTGCTGGGATTAACAGGTGTGAGCCACCATGCCCAGCCAGGTCTTTCATTTTAAAGACAGACTTTTCTTCTGATTGTTATTTGATTTTCAAGTTAGGAATTTTTGCTGTCATCTTTTTAAAGGTAATCTGACATTTGTCTATTCTAATGCAGGTGTCAAACCACCCGTAGGAATTCTGACAGTTGAGTCATTTCAAATGGGAAGCTAAAAAAGTGGTAAGCTCGGCCTGGTGCGGTGGCTCATGCCTGTATTCCCAGCACTTTGAGAGGCCAAGACAGGCGGATCGCCTGAGGTTGGAAGTTCGAGACCAACCTGACCAACATGGAGAAACCCTGTCTCTACTAAAAGTACAGAATTAGCTGGGTGTGGTGGCACATGCCTGTAATCCCAGCTACTCAGGAGGCTGAGGCAGGAGAATCGCTTGAACCTGGGAGTCACGTTGCAGTGAGCCAAGATCGCGCCTTTGCACTCCGTCCTGGGAAACGAAAGTGAAAACTCTGTCTCAAAAAAAAAAAAAAGGTGGTAGGCTCTAGATTAAGCTCTAGATCCAGCCTTGGGTTTGGGTTTCTTAGTCCACACCAAGTCAGACTGGAAAGTTGGTGATTACAGGGAGATTTTAGTGGCACTAAAATTTCAGGTAGATTGGTGATGGTGTGTTTTTTCTTTAGTTTTGCATTATGCAAAATGGAAAATACAGCAATACAGTGCACAACCTTATATCCGACATCTTGATATAAAGATTATTAGCATTTTGTTGTATTTACTCTTTTTATAGAAATATTTTAAATCATAGATGTATCATTTTCAATTTTATGTACTTTATGGTGTTTCTCCAAATTTATGTATTTATAGATAATGACAGTACTGTTATCAGGCTTAAACATAATTGTTTCGTACCAGCTGATACCCAGTATTTAGTCGTGTCCCAGATATCTTTAAACTCTGCTTACAGTTGTTTCAGTCTAAATCAAGAGTCCAAACAAAATTCATCTATTGCCTTTATATCTAAGTCTATTTTAATCTAGAACTATCTAACTTTCCTCCTCTCCCTCCCCTTTTTCCCCCCACCGTTGCCTTATTGAAGAAACTGGGTCATTTGTCCTCTAGAATGTCCCACTTTTGGGGTTTGTCGGATTGCTTCATGGTGTCATTCAGCATATTTCCTCCTGCCTTTCTTGTAAACTGGAAGTTAGATGTAAAGGTTCCATCTGATTTTTTTTTTTTTTTCCTTCAGACGGAGTCTCGCTCTGTGGCCCCAGGTGGAGTGCAGTGGTGCGATTTCAGCTCACTGCAGCCTCTACCTTCCGGGTTCAAGCATTCTCATGCCTCAGCCTCCCGAGTAGCTGGGATTACAGGTGTGCGCCACCACACCCAGCTAATTTTTGTGTTTTTAGCAGAGACAGGGTTTCACCATGTTGCCCAGGCTGGTCTCGAACGCCTGGCCTCAAGCAATCC